TACGTAGGTGGTGGGGTGGGTGCCGATTGGCCAATGAATTGGGCTCTTGAGTTTTGTAATTTTAGGTAAGCTAGGGCTTAATTGTAATGAATAGGTAAGTTGAGGGTACGATAGCCGATAGACTCTGAATTTCGAAGTCTCTTGTCAGAGGTAAGCCTTGGTGGCCAGTGGTGAACCGGCAATGGTTTACTATCCGGACGGCAATGGTTTACTATCTGCACGGTAATGATTTACTATGCGGCATGGCCATAGTCTACTACCCGCACGGCTTCCGGACGGCAAATGGTTTACTATCCGCACGGCAATAGTCTACTATCCGCACGGCAATGGTTTACTATCCGGTGCCCTGGCTGTCGGTGAACCTCTGTGCAAGGAGGGAGAATGAAGGGGGACTTTCGACTATCGTACCATTATCAATTTAATATAGATTAGTTAAGGTAATTGAATAGGTAGATAGGATTATTTTTATTAAGCAATTTGAGATGCAAGCACCGCTAAGCTTTCTGATGAGAATTTTCTCTTTCTCCATTCCACGGGCTGTGTTTCAACAACAATCTCGAGGAGGACTGGCACCAGTTTTGGAGGACAACGTAGGAACCTGAAAGCATGGACGACGGTAATTTTTTTTTCATTTTAATCTCTTTATTATTTTCAGATATTATTTATTTGTCATTATTTCCATTTTTTCAATTTTTCGCTTCTAAGATTCTAACATTCATTTACTACTACGCTAATAAAAAAATTGTCTACAGAGTGGTGAGAGGTGGGCAGTGGTGGGAGTCAGCACGTTTCAGATGGTGGTCTCATGATGATTTACGTATGATGATGGTGGTGTAGGAAGAATCAGCGAGTTGGCTGTTCGACTGACACTCAGAAGTTCGGATGAAATCTTGTGTGCCGACTTGAATGTGGTGGTCGGTGCAATGGAGTACAGTAACGACGATTTTTGAAGTAAGGTTTAGTTTCTTTTTTTTATTTTTCTCATTCATTCTTTTTTTCACTCAATCTATCAAATTATTCTTCCATTAATTGACGTTAATTCATTCTATTCATTCCTTTAGCTAATTATTTAATCATTCAGTTAATCATTTATTCGTTCGTTCCTTTGTTCCTTGATTTACTACTAAGCTAATAAAAATAACTTTTCTACAGAATGATAAGTGGTGGGCTGTGGTGGGCGTCAGTACGTTTCAGATGATGGTCTCATGATGATCGTTCCGATGACATTTTGAAGAAAACAACAACGACGTTTTTTGAAGTATGGCTTAGTTTCTTTTTTTATTTTCTCATTCATTCATTCATTCATTTTATCACTATCTTTCAAATTATTCCTCCATTAATTAATTGATTCATTCTATTCATTCACTAAATCATTGATTGATTAATTAATTAGTTAATTAATTCATTCAACCAATCATTCAGTTAATCATTTATTTGTTCGTTCCTTTGTTCCTTGATTTACTACTTCACTAATTAAAAAAAACTTGTTTACAGAATGATGAGAGGTGGGCAGTGGTGGGCGTCAGCACGTTTCAGATGGTGGTCTCATAATGATGATCGTTCCGATGACAATTCGAAGAAAACAAAAACGACGGTTTTTGAAATATGGTTTAGTTTCTTTTTTATTTTTCTCATTCGTTCATTCATTTTATCACTATCTTTCAAATTATTCCTTCATTAATTGATTCATTGATTCATTGTATTCATTCATTATATCATTAAATAAGATAAGTTGCCTAATTTTTCTAATGGTTTGTTTTTTTTATTTTAATGAATTAATTTTTTTCCAATTTAGTGTTATTCAGTATCCGGTCAAATTCATTCCATCGATGCGTTTCAGATGATGATCGGTGCAATGGAGTTTCGTCCGTAGTGAGTGAAGAATTTTCTGGAGAGTACACGCCCGCACATTTACACACACACATCAATACAACACACACATACAAAACATTCATTCATTCGGTGTCGTTGTTTATGTTTCTCTTCAACTTTCTATTTTCTTTACCGGACTTTAATTTAATTCATAGGTAAGTTAGGGATTGAGCTGAGTTGAACAATCGTAGGTAGGCTAGGACTTAACATTAGTTAAAAAGTTTCAAGTAAAATAAAAACGCTGAAATATATAAATTAAAATACCTAAAACAAGTAAAATTCCAATACATATTTGTAGGTAGGTGAGTTGAGTTAATGATTATAAGTAAGCTAGGGCCCTGAGAGTAATTTAATTGTAGGTAGGTGACTGACTGCTATTCTTGCGACTTCTTACTATTTTTTGTGATGTGTTTGTTTGTTTGTTTTCGCTTCACAGCACCACACCAACAAAACAAACTACATTTTTTTTCGTCGTCGCTTTAAATTTTACCTTTTTGAACAATCTTTTTAATATTGTCTATTTATATATTTATTTATTTATTAAATGTTGACTGGTTTCTAGTTTTTTTTAATTTGGTTATGAAATTTTTGGATATTTCTTGATTTAATAAAAGCAACTGTTGTGTTT